TTCTGGATGTTTCTATTATCATTAAAGACAATCATTTGATGTTTGATTGGTATCATAAACACATTTTCAGGCATTTTTAAATTTTTTCTCTAACCATCCAATGTCCCAACAGAAAGGCATAATTTTCAGTTTAGGACAGAGACATTCTATTATTGTTGGATCCTATTTTCCAAGCAAAAAATATTACTCTCATCATAAATATTTTGATAGAAAACAATTTTCCGCTTAAGTTTATTTTTGATACCATTAATAATAGAATCAACGATATCATTCGGAAAAAGATATCTAGAACTACAATAATAATTTAGAGAATAATAAAGAATCTATTAATCCATCTTGGTTCATCGATTTTAACAGAAAAATTCAAACAATTCAATAGAAATGATATCAAGGTCTCTTATTATAGTGCAAACAAATTAATGAAATTTATCAAAATACCTAAAAATCCCTTGGACTCTTTTTCGAAGTCTAATGTTGTGTATAAGATAAACTGCAATGATTGTGACGCATCTTATGTGGGATAAACGGAGAGAAAGCCGAAAACTCGGATTTCAGAACATCAAAATCATATATGTTGGAAGCTTTAAATTGGTAATAACGGATCATCAATCGCAATTGGGCGCATAATTTTGATTGGAATAATATTCTAATATAAATCTTGGATGAAGAATCGATTTACAATAAGCGCCTTGTCTCAGAGATGCTTAAAAAACAGTGTAATAGTCTTAACCTACAGACGGATACAGAAGGTCTTTACAAATCATACATTCTGATAATAACAATGTTTGACTTCGCATTGCCAAAATTTATCGCAGTACAGTCGAATCCGTCGAGAACGTTAGACGCTTTTCGCTGTTTTTTATTTTATTTTATACATTGGACGTTACACGCATATAATGTGACATTAATTTTTTTATTGTTTTTGACATCGAAATTTGACGTTTTTTTTTTATAAGACTAACATGGTTTTTCTCAATTATCTACTATGAGATGAGTTTTTACCAGAGAGAATTATGCTTGTGCTAAATTAAAAAATTTTAGGTTTGATAACTTATAACGTTTCTATGTTTCTTTATGTTTTCTCTAGAACAACGAGAAATTTTCGCAATCGATCAACCAATTATTTGACGAGCAATTTTCCGTTTTCTCTGTTTTGACTCTCATCTAATTATGTAACGAAACAGTCGCTTTTTAAATTTTTGAATAAGTTATTATACTGCGCCGTGAAATAAAAAATTTGTTGTACATGTGAAGAGGGCCTAAACATAAGATCGAAACATGTATGTAATTGTAATTGTATTCTAATGTTTTAACTTTTGTACTTTTTATAGTTTGATTTATTATTTCTATCTTTAATTATACTTATGTTAAACGAATAATGGAGTTCTATTAAGTTTTTTTTTTACTCTTATTAGCCTGTTATATCACGTTGTTAGGAAATCTGTCATACTTAAATGTATCGATATGATTATGCGTCGTTGTTATCACGTATGCAAGTTCTTGTAGGCAGACAAGATATTTTTCTACTGCAGACTCTTATTTGATTGTATTGAAAAATGATATATTTAATAAAGCAATTAAATAAAGGTTCTTAGCTTGCTATTCAAAAATTTGTTGATAATGCAAACTTATGGCTAAAATTCATACGGGAAATGTTTTGATCGAGATTTATCCGATCATAAACGAATATGATTCTTGTAAATTTTGTAAATTTTATATAAATGCAACATCAAAAGATTTTTTTATATGACATTTTATATTTCACATTAAAACAAGCATATATAAAATGTCGGAAACATGAGAGATTCACGATAGATCTATTTATACTTAAATCGTTAGATAATATTATTAATTTTATAATTAACAAATTTAATAGTACATTATAAAATATTTGTAACTTTTTTCAAAATTTATAGGAATTTGGACAACGGTGAAGTCGCGTTTATAATTACAGCATGTATTTTAAGGAAATACTGGATTTAAACTTTAATTTATGTAAAAAAAAAATTAAAAAGGTATTAATTTTAAATAACTTAAGTTTCTTTTTGCTTTAAAACAAATCTGCTTTAAAAACACAAATTCACTGCTTTAAAAATACAAATTGTTTTCTTATATTATTTTTAAAGTAGTGAATTTGTGTCTTAAAAGCAATAAACTAAATAGTCAACTTTAATGATATATTTCGGTTCGCGGAGCAGCACGACATCTTTTCTTCAACTCAGATGGAAACATTTTATTGAAATTAATCCTCGTTTTAGAATGGCATTTCAGAAAAAATTCAGTTTAATTTCAGTGATTTTTTGTTGAAAAATTTATTTTTAGCAAAATTTTGGTAAAATTTCAGAGAAATTTTAAGAAAAGTTTCCGAAAAGTTTCTACAGAAGTTCAGAGAAATTTTAGTTCAATTTCAGCGATTTTTCAGTATGTCAGCTGAAAAATTAACTTTCAGTGAAATTTTAATAATTTTTCAATCAACAATTTTGCTAAAATGTTCCAAACATGAAATAACTTCAGCGAAATTTTTTCACCAGGGAACGCACTTCAAATCGGAATCTATAATCACAGTCTAATTATACAAAAGATAATATAATAATACATTTCGTAAAATTATACTTCTCAAATGCAGTGTTTCTATTGGAGAATCTAACCGAAATATTAGGTGTAGTAAAAAGAAATCCATTATTTTTCCAATAGATGGCTTTAGTAATCTGTATCTCGTCTATGCATGATACAGATTACTAAAGTCATCTATTGGAAAAATAATGGATTTCTTTTTACTACACCTAATATTATGGAAACAGTCGAATATTAAATAAGTTCAATCTTAAGACTATCTTCATAAAGACGACTTTAAATTAAACAAGAATTTCTTAAGGAAAAACTTCTTCTCGAAGATCATTTTCGTGACTATGAATTGATCTCAAAACGATTTTGATTGAATAAGATCTTGATTAATCTTGATCTTGATTGAATAAGACAGTCTTGACCAAAAGACCTTAAACGCTGCCTTGAGTTTTGACTATGAATACGGGTCACAGTAATCCCACTTCTGAGCTGTAAGCAATTGATGATAACAGAAAAAAATATCAGGGCGCTTCTCGTCTCGAATCTAGGTATCAATTATGTAAATTTTCACGAAACTTTAATTTTTTCACTTTTTGTACGTACCAATCTCACGTGAAAAGTTTCACTTTCAAACAATATCAGACTTAGTAATTTTGTAAGAAAATTATGAGAAAGTGAAATCAAATGTAAGGATATTACGGGAAAGTGAGATCATAACTCGAATTTACATCGTTCCTCTTAAATTTATGAAAATTTAACAAATGTTCACAGGTGTATATACATACAAGTATGTACGTACATATATATTTTGATAGGAAATCACATTGTGCTCATTATTTATTGTTCCTTATACATATAATCGAGAATAACAATGAATGTATTAGGTGTTGGAATTAATTCGTAGCGTTTTACAAGTGATGGGAAGTACTTTCATTAATGTATTTTTTAATGCTCATGTGAAATAAATAACATTCTTTCATTAAAAAACGCTACGAATTAATTCCAACACCTAATACATTCAAAACAAAAGGAAATGCTGTTAGACATAATGCCAAAAAATTTGAATATTGTGTGGGAAAGTGTGAGTGTCGCGAAATTCTCAGAGTCGTATGGAACTGGTAAAAACATGTTATTTTATTGCTCTTGTTCTTGATTGTATGTAGTAAAAAACAATATGTATTTAAAATTCGTAGAAAAATGTATGGGAGAACATAGCACAAACCCTTATTTTTCTGGATTAGGGCCGGAGAAATCTTCATCTGAATGGAAAAAGATTATTTTTTAACCTGTTTCATAAATTTCTATTTTTTATTATAATTCTTATTTTTAAATTTTCATGTGATTTTTATGCATTTCATATTTTTATATTTTACTCATATATTCAATTTAACATTACGCAAACGTTTTTTTAATATGCGAAGTTTTCGCCTGTCAACTGCATGCTCTTCTTCTTCGTTGCATCATTTACGGCGAGAAACCACGCAATATCTATTTCAAATATATATTTCAAATAGCTATTCAAATATGTTTGATATTTGTCGAAAGCGAGCGAGTTCTAGGTTGGTATTTATAGTTAGATCTTATACTCAAAACCATCTTAAGTATGGTCTTAAGAAGTCACGAACCAATCAGAGACCGGTATTCAGATCTTATATTTAAGATCGTCTTAAGTATGCTCTTAAGACACTGTCTAGATTCATAATCGCGACTTAAGATAATCTTAAGCTCTCGCCTTAAGCATTACCTTGATTAAGACCCTCATCCTGAATATGTCTTAGAACATCCTGGGACATTATAGGACATTCATATAGTCAGGGGATAGTCCTAAAGATGTTCTTGTGCTGTTTGGGTTATTAATTATCAATTATACTATATATTAAAATGCATTACTGATTACTAATTATCTATCAATTTTTGTATATTTTTATAATCATGATCATATAAAAAATATGTGAATATTAAATTATATCATTTATATTTATTATAGTTTTAAATAAAAACAGATTATTTTAAATATTTTGTAATTTTATTTTATCTCTAAAATTACAAAATATTTAAAATAATCTGTTATTGGATTCTTCGGGTTGTTTTAATCACATGTTATAGAATAACCTGATAATAAAATCAAAAGAATAAAAAAAAAACAGTTTCGTATTGTTATATTTTACTGCGAAATCTCTTGTCGCTGTAATATATAATTGTAACTAAATATGAAACTTTTTTATTATTATTATTATTACTTATTCATTACTTAATGCACAAAATAACAGTTACTTAACATAATAAACATAATAAAATTAGTACAATATAATGAACAGTTAACATAAAATAGTTTACATAAACAGTTTTACGTTTTTTTAAGTCTTCTAAAGTTTTAAACTTACAAATAGTTAAGAAATAATATCTTTTTCTTTCTTTAATAAAAGTTCAGTTATTTCAGCCTTTTTTTCAGCTTCTCCAGCTTTTGCCAGCAACGTCCTTAATTCTGCTTTATTTATTTCCTTTAAATGAGTTTCTTTAATAGCAGCCATCGTTTCTTCATGTTCGAGTTTTACTTTGGCCAACTGTTGTTCTTTATTATGTTCCTTATTCTTTCAATTTTTAAATCATCTTTTGTTTCTATGAACTTGCGTTTCTTCGTGGTCTTGCTTGTTCCTACTGTTATTTCTTCTATTATAACTTCTGTAAAAAAAAATATAACATATTTAAAGATGTAAAAGAATTACTTTATGAATGTGCACATTAAATATATTATTATAATTATATCATAAATATATTATTAATTAGAGAAAAGTGCTTCAAAATACTTTTTATGGCAAATAAATTTGTCAAATGACGTAAATCAAATATAATATGTTATTTGAAATGTGGGATTAGTAATATTTCTTAATTTTTTAAATTTGTGAAATATAAAATATAAATATAAGTCTTATCTAATAAGCTAACATTTATATTTCATATATTTCATGTAGAATTAGCCAATTACAGTCAAGAATTGTCAGAAACTTTCAGCTCTTTGATTGGTTAATTCTTACGGTATGCCTTATGATTATTATTACGGAAAGTGTGTAAGGGCCCCCTAAGACATATATATTTGTATAATAAAAAAACTTACTGTCATATATTTTAATAACATACCTTTGAAATCTGATGCTTTTGTTTCACATAAAGGTATATTTTCCTTATTTGTTACTTGATCAAACTCAAATTGTATTGTACTGTCATTTATATCTTGTACGATTTGTTTGTGATCTAAAATTTAATAAAAAATAAATGCAAACAATTACTATTACTATTATTATTTACTATTACTATTCCCAAATAAATGCTTACTTTCTATTTCATCATCATTCATATTTGATGAAAATAATGTAGAGGCTGTGGCCATTAAATTAGGCGCTATTAAAGTAACATTTGGATCTAATTCTGAAGATGGTGTTTCTGGTCCGCAACCTGTAGCAAATCTAGCTTGTCTTTCTTTTGTTATAATATCTCTTTGAGTTGCTTTAAGTTGATTCATAGCTTTTTCAGTTGTTGTATTCAGTTGTTTCTCTACAAAAATAAATATTAAATAATATTAAATAATTAATAGTAATAATTAAATAGTTATTATATATTTATAATACTAAAATGACGAATAATGAACTTAAAATTAAAAGAAGGAACTTAAGAGTCAAACTAGATTTATATACTAATTGAAATGTTTATATAAATTTACAAATAATACAATGAAGACGTTTATACATATAGTTCGTAAGCTTTTTTTCTTATTTGTTAAAAGAATATTAATACAATGTAAAATAAATGTTTTAATAATTTCACAACAAACTCGATAAGAATTTGTTGAAATAAGCATTAATTAAAGGAATTGCTGTAATAACAAATTACCCACAATTGTAAAAATGGAGAAAATGCTCGGACATTCACTCTTCTATTTCTATCAAATATCACATGTTGCATTCAGACAATATTCATTCTAGTTACATTATAAAATTAACACTAGCTGAATATATGATACTGTTAAAAATGAATGAATGACAGAATTCAAGTTTATTTTCTCCATTTTTATAAAATGTAAGTTAACTCACTGTTGTAGCAAGCCTTTCAATTGTACGTATTACATTCATGTTATATTCAGTATGTTGACATAATCTGTTAAAATTATCTAATATAAAGAAATAAATGTTTCTTACTCTTGCGTAATTAACGACGAATTATTAAATTCGTCACAAATGTTAGTCTACGCAACTGCTTTTTCGCGAAGTGTGTTAACGTTACTTTTTTTTGCATTCAATAATGTCTTTATATTAGGTTGGTGCATATGAAATGTCGGATTTTCTTTACATATGAACGTTTGTCTCCCTGTTTTCATTATGCTTTTGTTTTTGGCATAACCTCGTTTATAGTCGTCCATTATCATTTGCCAGAATCACATTTCAACAAAGAAGATTTTCTCAAAAGTGTTCCATTTTGTTATTTGTTTTGAATTTCGTAAGGATATGAATTCAACCGATATTCATGTAATTTTTTTATATGAGTATAAACTTGGTAATAATGCTGCAAAAGCTGCACGCAATATAAACTAGGCATTTGGGGAGAATACTGTTAACGATCGAAAAGTGCAGCGTTGGTTTGAAAAATTTCGGTCTGGTGATTTTTCTCTACAAAATGAAGACCCAAAACGTCTGTGAAAAATGATGCTCTGAAAGCATTGGTGGAAACGAATCCAACTGTATCTACAAGGGAACTTGCTACCAGAATGAAAGTTGACCATACAACGGTATTGTGACACCTTTCTGAAATTGGCAAGGTGAAAAAAATGAATAAATGGGTACCGCACGAACTAACCGAATGAAATAAGCTGGATCGATTGAACGTATGCTCATCATTACTAACCCGATTTCATCGAGAGCCATTTTTCGATCGGATTATTACTTGTGATGAAAAATGGGTTCTTTACGACAATAGGAAAAGGTGTGCTCGGTGGCTTGATAGGAATGAGGCTTGTGCTCATACTCCAAGGCCATCACTTCATCCACGGAAAATTTTAATAACAGTTTGGTGGAATGTGACTGGAGTAATTTATTACTCATTCCTTCGAACTGGGGAGACAATTACCGAAAAGTACTGCCAGTACATTGATGAATTGCATGAAAAATTGAAAATTATACGCCCATCACTTGTTAATCGGCATGGCCCAATACTTCTCCACTCGACAACGCTCGGCCGCATACGTCGTACAAAACAATTGCGAAATTAAATGAATTAAAATATGAAATTTTGCAGCACTCAGCTTATTCACCGGATCTTTCACCAATCGACTTTCATTTTTTTAAACATTTAGAAGTTTTTACTGGCTAAACAGTATGAAAATGAAGACAGAAAATGAAAACTGAAAAATTCCATATCAGAGTTTATTGATTCTAAAGAACAGAATTTCTTTAAGACAGGCATCTATGCATTAAAATCTCATTGGGAAAAGTGTATTGAAATAAATGGAGCATATTTTGATTAAATAAACAGCTTTTGAAAAAAGATTTGCAGTTTTATATATTCACTTAAAAATCCGACATTTCATACGCACCAACCTAATAGTTACTTAAAATTTGTAAGAAAAGATTATTTTCCGTAGGCATATAATGTCTACTCTTATTACTTGCCATTTATTTCCGTATAAAAGTTTTTGGAGAAGGATCTTGAAACACCAATGTGTAACAGTAATCAAGTGAATACACAACATTCAAATTCTTCTATCATATTATTGGTTGTTCTAACGGAATTATGACGGAAGTTCCCGAACGTAAATGAGCACTGTCTTAAGTATGTATATTAGTATATTATCTTTACAAAGATAATAATATTATGAAATAAAACGGTCCTTAAGTATTAGTGCATTCTTGAGATTGTCTTATTCATGGATTATGAATTCATGAATGTCTTAAAGTGATCTTCAGCAAATAAGATGATCTTCATCAAGATAATCTTAAGTATCACCTTGAGAACGGACTATGAATTCCAGTCAGAGAGCTGCATTAGCGTTTTAAGACATTACTTATTTCAAGACGGTCTTGAAATAAGTATCGATTATGGATACCAATCCTAGTGCAATCTAATGCAGAAACAAAAAACAGACTAAAAAATCGAAAAACAAGCTAGTTTATATCAATTTACTAAAAAATAACTAGAATTTCACATTTTAGGTATTTCGTTACTTGTCGAAAAATTTCCCGTGAACTATTTCACATTTTATAACAGTCAAAAGTTACTTAATCGCTTTTTCATTACATTCACGTGAATTTGTTCACTTTTTGTGTATTCATTCCTGGGGGAAACTTTACATAATCGATCCCCTGGTCTCTCCTCCGGACTATGGATTCCGACCCTAGAGTGAATATAAAGAGAGCTAATTAGCCAGAAGTCACCATTTTGTGTCCTATATCTATAACATAATTTCTCATTTTAATTTTCCTCATTTTAATTTTTTTTTCTTTAATGTTATCTTCTTTCTAACTAATAGTAAGGATACTTAAGTTGGACTTCCATGAGATGGATTTACGCGTATCGCATAATCACATAATGAATCAATAATCAGTAAAACGTGAAACCACAACAGCGGATTGCTTTTGATTAGTTACGCGATAAATACATCTCATGGGACTCCAACTCCTTAATGGCGGAGTCAATCAGCACATGCATTGGCGCCATTCTCTTTATACTCACTCTAACGTAACATATAGTTAGAGCACTCGAATATAGATATTTGCATCTACCATTTTTAGTCCTTTTCCCACTCTTCATTCTCTCTTCAACCTTCTCTCTTCTCTCTTCAATCTTCTCAGCTTAGCGACGAATGGAGAGAGAGCAAGAAATTGAGGAAAGAAGCAAGAAAATGAGGAAAGGACAAATGACGAATGCCAATATTCATATTATAGTGCCTTAATATAGTTTAATTGGGTATCAATCATGAAATTTTATCCCTAGGATGAAAAGTGAAAAGTGAAAATTTTAACCATTGAAGTTAATGGAGAAATTATTCACTTTCCACCCTAAGAAAAAAGTAATTGATATCATGAAGTAATAAGAAGAAGACCAAATATTCGAGAACTGAAAGGTTCGAAACACGGTTTCGGAAAATCCATAGAAAATCGAGATGTGATTTTAGTGCCATCGCGCTTTGCGGGAAAAGTTAGAAGTATTGACTGTCACGTGGTCACAGGTCACACGTATGTATGTACATACCAACGTATCTAGACTTCTAAAACTTTCTCTCCGAGGAAAATTTTACTCGAAATATATAGTACAGTATACGTAATGTCTATTATAGCATATAGACTAAAATCTTTCTCGGAGAGGAAGTTTTGGAACGTAGCCTTAGACCAAGCATTCTGTTGATAATTCGAAGTTGAAAATTGACAATTTAAGTAAATCCATGTTATTTCCTTTTATTTTGCAGTGTATTTTTTTCAACTAACCTTTTGTCTACACGTTCTGCGACTAATGCTGGCAAAAACACACAACCTTTCTCATATACAGGGTTCAAGATTCAGAAAAAAACATTTATCCTTAAAATATATTCCTGGCTTAATTCTAAGACGATTTTTCCTTTGCGAAAATTTTGTCTGCAGTTAGTTTTCAAATTACAAGAAGAAATGGTTAGCGTATCACGAATCACGTAGAAAAGACGGGCAAGAGCGGCGCTCACGGTTAGATGCGAATGCTTTATGCGCGGTGCGCATACTGATCCGATGCATTCACACGTTTATAAAAACACATTTTTTCTTATCTTTTCAGTCTACTATCTCTTTGTTTTTCACATACTTTAAATATAATAATTTCGTTAAGTTATAAATTATAAAATAATGATGAAATTAAAATGAATATTGAACCTTTTGAATATCGAATTACTTTTTAATTACATTGATAAAATTGTTAGAGAAATATAGTAAAAGAGCGAAATTAGACAACAATTATGTACGATAAGCATATAATTAAAACTATTATTGATATACAAATCAAACAATTATTTCAGTACGTCAAATTCTAAGAGTGTTTCTTACAATTTGATGTACCGAAAACTTGTTCAACTTAATTATATGTCAATAGGCGTTACAATACTTGTAGAACACAATTATTGTCCAATTTCTCACTTTTACAAAATTTTCTCTAATAATTTTATCTACGCTATCACGCTTGTAGTATTGGCTGCGTTCAGCGGACTCACAGTTGAGTGAGCGCTCGCTGTTATTGGTGTATTCTTTTAGATCATCCAATCAGCATTTTAGATCTGGAATAATACATCAATAGCAGCGAGCGCTCACTCAACTGTTTAGTCTACTGAACGCAGCCATTTATTACATATTTATGAGAAATGTTATGAGAAACGCGATCGCGCTTCTTAGCATAGTTAAAGAGTTGTCAATATTTAAAATAAAAACGTAAGCCAAATACACTTTGAAAGCTTATTATTATCTTAATTATAAAATTGTTATTAGCTTGTAGATGTTCAATGATTCCATTTTATTCTAGTTTCTTGAAACAATCGGAGGAATAAATTTGGATGCACTAAGTGTTCGGTTTACTGTAATTCACTATTACTAATTAGATATTTTACTGTAATTCACTTTCTTCATCCAAATATTAAATGCCTTTAAGTTCATAGATATTAAGTCACACGTTTTCACAATGAGATTCTTTTTTTATAAATTGTCAACATTGTTTCAACATATTGACATTTCAATTACACTCACTTGATGAATTTATATTTATATTAACTGATTTATTAATTAATCACTGACAATCTCAAATAATTGATTATTCGGCGATCTTTCTTAAGCCTCCAATATTATTAAGCTCTATGTATGTCACAGTGCAATATATATTGTACGTAAAATTAAAGTGAAATATATTATTCATAATACTGATCGTGTAGGTTGTAAAAATACTAAAAAGATTGATGCATACTGTCAGTGTTACAGATTCAGTATTATTGACTGTGTAGGATCACCTTTAGTGATATATGAACTGCGCAATGACTGCACCCAAGAAAATCAGTCATTATAAAGCCGATTTAATAATTAGTCACTGACAATCACAAACAATTGATTATTCGACGATTGAAAAACACATGAAGGAAGAAACATGTCTGCAAGTCCGCATACAATATAACATGTGTTTACGTATGGCAAGCAGTTGACTGACTTTC